GCCTGTGCTCCGCAATGGGAGAGGCCACAACAGTGAGAGGCCCGCAGACGGCAAAAAAAAAAAAAAAAAAAAAGGGCAAAAGTGCATGTTTTTAAAAAATCTGAAAAAAAAAAAAAAAAAATGTCCAATTAGTCTCACCAATGGCAACAACTCCTTATCCAAGGAGTTGATTGCCCTTTAGATACCTAAGATAAAAATCAAGGTCCACATAAAGTCTGCCCATACTACAGCCAAAATAAAAGGCCTCCTCAAGACATTTCTTATCCCTTTCAGAGTTCCAGACATTACTGATGGTGACCAAGGCATGCATTTCACTTCTCAAAACAAATACCATAGACTCTAGAACGAGACATTCAATGGAACTTCCGCCTTACTAATGGCCACATGCTGTAAGCCTCAGAGAGCCATAATAGCTTACTTAAATAAGTTCAACATCAATGAAATGAGACATAGCACATCAGCAATCAAACATCAGTGGTGAATTATAATTGAGTCTGATTTCATCTGTGATGTCTGAGTACTGACAGCTTTCAAGCCCATAACCCCCCTGCCCACTTTCTGTCCCACACTGGGGCAAGCTCCTAAGAAGGCCCATGAGCTTCATCCCTTGGCCCCTGCTGGGTAGTTAAAACCACAAATACCCCAACTCTCACTCTGGTCCCACCCCTTAATCACAATGAAAAACAAAGCCAAGCTCTACCCTCCCCGAAAATCCCGTATGGGAGTCATAAACCTTTTGCTACCCTCTTTATGCATGTGTGGTGTCATCAGGCTTGATATCCAAACTTATTTGGGGAGGGGATGGGGATCTCACCCACGAGGGGATGACCACATCTATGCGTATCACTCCCCTGCTCATAGACCTCCAATAACTCCCCCACTGTCCACTGAATTAAATAGAAACTATTGATCGTAACTACAGATTTATCTTTCTAGTCTCCCTCTCCACTATTCTCCTTGATAAACATCATGCTTCAAATGCTGCTGTTCCCAGAACGCACCTGGTCTTTAATTGCCTCCATTCTCTGTGCTTATGCTCTGTCCTGAGTTTTCTCTTCTACCCACTGTATCTATCGGCCCTTCTTCAAAATCATCTTAAAAGCCAATCCTCCATGAACGATTTTCTGAATCTTCCAGTTAGACAAGCTCTCTCCCTGCTTTGAACCCCATATCACACAGTTTGAATCTCTGGCAGTGCTTTATCACATTCTACCCTATAACAAAGTCATTCACATCTTATTGCTCCTGAAGCTCAGGGGTTGACAGCACAGGTCCTGGAAACAGACCAAAAAAAAAAAAAAAAATCCCACATCTGATTCTTGCTACCTGGTTGTGCTTGGGCAAGTCACCTAGCATCTCTAAACCTCAATTTTCTCTTCCAATGAGAATAAGATCTTACACATGAAGAGTTTTGCCTAGAATCTGATGCATACTAAGAACTCAATAAAATGTTAGCTATTATCATTGTTTATCCTCTCAACTGGATCAGAAGCAATTTTATGTCATAAACTCATTTTTTAATCCAATGCAACAACAGTGTCTGGTATATAGAAAGCATTGAATAGATATCTATTGAATGAACTGAATAAATGGTTCATAGGACTTCACTGAAATTTTAAAGCAGATTAACAGTAAGATCAGCACAGTTAAATCACGTGCATGAATGTAAATTAATTCTAAGAACACACACACACAAATCATCTAAAAAGAGAGTAGAATTCAGGAAAACATAGGTTTGTCTTAAAAACTGCTTGCTAACTTGTAACTAGTTTCCCAGAGGTTCCTCCACACCCCATATCACCTCTCCCAACCCTGCAACACACACATACACACTCTTATAACTGGGTTATGGACTTAGCTATCTTCTAATTTTGGTATTTTAACAGAGAGTAGACATTTGTGGATCAAAAACAGTGACAAGTTAATTAGCCACTTAGAGTTTCTTTCTGTTCAAAATCCTGTCCACAGAGCATTCAGTACTTTGTTTAAGAAAATCATATAGTGAACGATGTTGTTCCACATTTAATATTCTTAAATAGACATCAAAAATATTTTTAGAGTTTAGAAGAAAAAGATTACCCTCTGCTGCAGTAATTCTCATTCAAGGATCTGCTTTAAGGGAAAAATATGGGAGACGTAGAAACACAGGTAGGTATAACGATGCTTATGAGAACATTAGCAAGAAACATCCTATGTGTGTAAAATATGTGATTGTCTGCCGTACTTTAAACTATTAAAATAGCTTTTTTTTTTTTTTTTTTTGCAGTATGCGGGCCTCTCACTGTTGTGGCCTCTCCCGTTGCGGAGCACAGGCTCTGGACGCGCAGGCTCAGCGGCCATGGCTCACGGGCCCAGCCGCTCTGCGGCATGTGGGATCTTCCCGGACTGGGGCACGAACCCGTGTCCCCTGCATCGGCAGGCGGACTCTCAACCACTGCGCCACCAGGGAAGCCCTGAAATAGTTTTTAATGGTAGTAGGGGATGGTCACAACATTGTGAGTGGAAAGGCAGGTACAGCGTGATGCCAACAGGAAGCAGTTTATCTCAACATTAAGGCACTTTTCCTTAGTGATAGGATTATTCATGGTGTTTGTCCCCACTGTATTTTTAAATAATCTACGAGAAACATGAGTTAATTTAAAAATATGTCCTTTAGGGCTTCCCTGGTAGCGCAGTGGTTGAGAGTCCGCCTGCCGATGCAGGGGACACGGGTTCGTGCCCCGGTCTGGGAAGATCCCACATGCCGCGGAGCGGCTGGGCCTGTGAGCCATGGCCGCTGAGCCTGTGCATCCGGAGCCTGCGCTCCGCAACGGGAGAGGCCACGACAGTGAGAGGCCCGCGTACCGCAAAAAAACAAAAAACAAGTGTCCTTTAAATGTTTGATAGCCATGTGTTTGCCATGATCTATAAAAATAACTACAGAATGTGTCTAATTGAAAGATTAAAGCCTTCCTTGAAGGCATTTAACTAGCTGTATTGTCAAACTCAGAGAATCTGCATTGCACATAGAAAGGAACGTTTGTAAATTGACTGACCTGATGTTTCAGTCAGTCCAGCTCTCCTGTGTGCAAGTCGTCACCTTGAAATGTTATGTATCATGGTTCTCTTTAGGGGAAGAAAACACAAAGTTGTACAAATAGGACTGTGGGGGGGCGAAAGGGAGGTCAGGAGAACTGTAAACTTCCACTTTAAAAAAGCCTATCTTGATAACATCTTCAGGTTCTTGAAAACATATTCCCAAATATTTACTTTTCACAAAAATATTATAGTTGGTAATATTTTAAGCTTTGGCTTCCTTAAAAGCAAATGTATCCTTACATTCACCAAGTCCAAATGGGAACCACCAATAAATCCTATTAGCAGAACATGTCAGCTAAACTGCATTTCTGTTTTTATAAACACTTACATACAGGTTTGTGACGTGGTAACCATGATCCTGAATCTTATACCACATTTTCATTTTCAGTAGCCAAGCAAACCTCATGAATTTCCCACGTGACACATTAAAAGGCACCAATGATAGATTTTTCTCAAAATTCACGTAAGATGAGAAACCTTTTGCGATCTGTGGCATGCATGCTACAGGACATTGGGACTGAGTTTGGTCCTGTATATGTAGAGACAGTGAACTGGCACAGCAGCAGCAGAGCTGCTGGGGTTTGGCCCATCAGTCCACTGGTTTTCCGGGGTGATGATGGATTTCCGTCGATTTGGATTCCCTGTTTGGTCTCGGTCCTCAGAGGATGGGTGGTAGCCTGCACCCGGAGTGGGTTCCAGCCGGGAGAGCCGAGCAGAGCATGCAAAGCTGACTGCTCACCTGGTGACTGACCGACTTCACGGCCTGTGAACTTGGTCTCATTTGTTTGGTGTTCTCACCAGCTGAGCTAACTCATCTTTTAAGATAGAACTACACAGGCTCGCACAGCTTTCCAGAGTTTTCTCTTCCAAAGAAATATCACCATTAAATTTCCGAAATATTTCCTATCATACTATGGACTCAGAGGAACTTTATGGAAGCATATTCTGGGGTCTGACACTAATTTTTTGCATGCACTGAAAGTGAAATTTAAACAAATGTAGTGAATGTTTGAGCACAAAGCAAAAACAATAAAACAAATTCACGTCAATTGCCTTTTTTTAAATTAGACAAGAGAATTTCAAAGGTCTCAAGGTAGGTAATTAGCAATACCACCATGTGGCAAAAAAAGAACTAGAAAGGGAGTCTGGAACCCTGAGATCTAGTCCTAGTTGTTGCTATTTAACATGTCACAATTATCAGGTTTTCATTTGTAGAATGGGAAACTGGGCTTGACACATTTAAGAGCCCATCCAATTTTGAAATACTAAGAATTCTTTTTCTTGTCAAAAATACATAAATCATATATTAAATGTTTTTAAATCTAGATTTTTTTAACCCATGACAAAATTAGAGCTGCTAAAATGTTTTAAGATAAAACATAAAACCAGCCTGCATTTTTATTTTATTTTTTTTTTGCGCGGTACGCGGGCCTCTCACTGTTGTGGCCTCCCGTTGCGGAGCACAGGCTCCGGACACGCAGGCTCAGCGGCCATGGCTCACGGGCCCAGCCACTCCACGGCATGTGGGATCTTCCCGGACCGGGGCACGAACCCATGTCCCCAGCATCGGCAGGTGGACTCTCAACCACCGCGCCACCAGGGAAGCCCCAGCCTGAATTTTTAATCAAACATTACTAGGGATGGAAAAATACCTGTACAAAACATCCTCAAGGAGCTGTTTTTCTCCTCCTAAAAGACAGGATCACCTAGACAATACAGAATGTATTTTCTTAAACTAATTATTTTCTAGTGCAGTGCTGCAGTATTACTGAAAGATTTTAAAAATACATCATCAAGGTATTTTTCATATATGATCTAGAAATATAATTTCCTCCTTCCCTCTCCTTTACTGCGAAAGATCCTTGCACAAGTGTGAAAGTGAAACTTGAATCTCATCTGAAAAATGTCTGTCTTCACTGCAGGGTGCTGCTCTCTGAAGGCTGGATTTTGGAGCAGAAAGCAAGCACGGGCCAAACTGGTTTTAACTTGCAAACCAGCAGAAATGATAGGAAAGATTCCCAAGCTAGAGCTGCAAAGCCTCTGATGTCCTAAAGAAGGTAAGCCTCCTATTTGGAACATTAGTCCAAAAGGGACAGAGTCAAACGAAATCCCTAAGGAAACAATCATAGTTCATTTGGGACCTTCTTTTTTTCCACCCACTTTAATTAAAAAGTCAGATAACAAAGCTGTAACTTATTTCCGATTAAATATTGAGATGAGCATAATCCACATTTGCTGCCAATCAAGGTATTTTAAAGGAATGTACCTTTTATTTCAACCAATCTTTCCTCCGCCTCTGAAAAAAAAAAAAAGAAAAATCTTGTCTATTATCGATAGTATCAATTTAAGTAGCTCTTTTTTCTTTAAAAAATGTTATCAAATGTGCTTCAAAGAATGCTTATAAGAAAGATCTATCAGTTATAAGGTATAAGTGTGCCTCATGGGTCACCATTGAGTCGCATGGGGCAGCAAAATTGATGATACATATATTAATGTTGCAAACTGAACTGTTACATTGAAAAGGGCGAGTTACAATTCAGGGTCAAATAGCTGTATTAGCCTAAATTCTTGCCACTTTAAATTGAAATTTATTGGACGTTTTAATAGCTTTTTAAATTGAGGGATTTATCAAGTACCTAAATTTTTAAGTATTTTTCTGACTTTCTTCAAATGAAACTTGTAAAGGAAAAATGAAGGGTGTTTTCTGCTGAAACATTTGCTGAGTAATAAAAAGTATCACCAACCAAAATAATTTTGAAAAATGGACTATTTGTAGGTTTCTAGGATCAATAATGCATAATGGTACTAAAGAACAGTGTTCAAAACAAGTACCCTTAAAGCGGTACTTTCATTTTCTTTTTGCCTATAATCCTTATTGGATTTATATAGCACCTGTCTGCCAAGGAACTCAGACTGCCTTATAAGCTTATAGACTTCGAGTATTATGACTACACAATAACAAATGTTTTCAAGCAGTAATATTTTTTACCTTAAGAATGTCTATTTCCATGTACTGGGGAAGAGCAAGCAGTGATATGATATAAAATTGGGAAGTTTATACAAAGGAAGAAGCAAGGGGGTGAAAAAGAAGCAGAAAATCATAAACTTCAAAAACGCCATCACCTAATGGGCAAAAACTCGGCTTCACTGTATCACAGATTCTGCTTCAGTGAGTTGATGAGAAGAGCTAGACTGACAAATCGAGCGCTTTCCTGGATGTTAGATAGAGCTCAGTTTTTAACTGTTAGGTTATCACATGATGAAGGAGAAATCATTCTTCTGAACGGAGACTCTATAAATTTTACAATTTGTTGTTTCCTACAATATCAGCAGACTTAGCAATGAAAGCCCATCGGCAGTGTATTCCTAAGATGGTGTGCTTTTATTTATTAGATGTTTTCACTATTTTTTGGCTGTGTTTTGGCATCACCCTTAGGAAATAATGGCAGCCAGCCAGTTTATGAATTCCTGGTGAACACTTAAAATGTTTAATGGAATAATATTAAGTACCATATATTTAACCTTTTCTTAGGAATTGTAGGATCTGACGTATAACCCCAAAATAATGCATACTGTTTCATAAAATGAGCCTTAAGGAACTTAATATAGTTAAAATTAAAACATCATATTCTGTCTGTCTAATCTAATCTAAACAAGGAACAGATTCAGATATTTTTAGCTCTGTTTTGAAAACTTCTGAATTTAACTCAAAGAGGAAAAAGCTTTCTATGCTTCTATTGTAAAAAAGATTTCTAGAACTAAAGTACTGTCTAATCCTATTTCATTTATAAAAGTATGGAAAACTAAATTTTATTTCAAATATAAAACACCCCCGAACATGATCTTTTTTTTTTTTTTTCCTGGACGTGGGCCTCTCACTGTTGTGGCCTCTCCCGTTGTGGAGCACAGGCTCCGGACGCGCAGGCTCAGTGGCCATGGCTCACGGGCCCAGCCGCTTCGCGGCATGTGGTATTTTCCCAGACCGGGGCACGAACCCGTGTCGCCTGCCTCGGCAGGCGGACTCTCAACCACTGCGCCACCAGGGAAGCCCACCAGAACATGATCATTTTAAAGGGAAAGAAGGGCCCTAAGACTTACTGGCACAAGTTTACCTACACTTTAAATTAAGCAGTAATGGCTAAATTAAAAGTCACTTTATATAAGAGTTTAGAGACTACTGGAATTTACTTTTAAACTTACTTGGCAAATAATAAACTCTGAAAAAAAATCTTGTCTATTATTGACAATATCACTTGATTAATCAATTGCTTTTATTTACACCTAAGTGTGATTTATTCTTCACAAAGGTGTATATACTAACATAGAGTTTAGCTAAAGTCAAAATGTCCCCAAATTCTTAAGTGCTGAACTGAACATAAGAACCTACGATTAGTTGAGACACTCATTTGTAAACATAGACAGTTATCTCTGGTTATTTCCTCAAATTCATATCCTACCATAACAATTATTTTTTAAACACATTAGCAGTCTCTGATAATCAAACTGTCAACCCTATAGGTACCATTTTAAGCATTTAAAAAAATATATTCTCAGGAAAATCTAAGTTCCAATTTACATTATGACCTTATAACTTTTTAAAGTTACTCTTTTAAATCTTTTATTTTAGAATATTCTATGTCTTAAGACACTTCATTTTCATATTTATTTGCATTATATTTGTTTCATACTCTGCTCTAAAAATCCACAGAACAATTTCACATGGAGAGTTTTATTATGTAAATAATTTTGTTCTGTCCTAACAACTTAGTCTAGAAAAAGCCCCACACTGTGAACTGCTTATCATACCGAACTCTTCCCTCTTACGAACTTTATAATGCTTTTACAAAATAGTTTAATGAATAGCATTAACTTTCACATGAATATTCAAATTCTCTATGTAAACCCTGAAAGGATCCACCATCTCAAAACTATCTCCAAAGTCTGTCTGTATAAGACACTGCTCCCGTTTCATTCTCAGCTATAATAACGAATACCTTAATTATCATCAGAACCAAGACCATTTAATATCACTGCCCCTAATCTTTTTTTCAAATAGTAAACTTGAACACAACTGTAATTCTTTTAAGAATCTTTATTTAATTTTTTTGGAACAATGTAGTTTGCTGGATCTCGATGCAGTTTATAAAAAAACGTCAGCACAGTTTCATATAAACTGCAATCAGAAAAGTAACTTGTCGAAGAAGTTATCTGAAGTTGCAAGTTATTTTTTGTAATATGCAGAACAGGAAAATGTAAGCATGCTCTCAGATGCAGGCGCTCCTGTGTGCTATGGAGTTACTTTGAAGAGCTTGCTAAGGTCTGCGGGCAGTTTATGGAATGCAATCATTCTCTCCACAATTTTGGTACATGAGAATAAAACTGATATTTATGAAATACGTCTTTTTCTCAAAAAAGTTGAGGCAGCTTTTGTTGAATGCTATCTGTGGGAGTACACTTGATAACCTTGAGCTGTACTAAGAGAAACAGCCAGCCAGGAGGCCATGTTCATGCTGAAACTTGAGAACATCCCTCCAGACGTGTTGATTTCCCAGAAAAGGAAGAGGATAAAACACTAAGCACAGTTGTCCATTGTCTTACAGTAGCAGAACACACCAAGAAACTTTACATAAGGGAGCAAACTCCCTTCACTGCTTTCAGTCAAGGTCAGTGGCAGCTACAGTGGAGGGTGGTGGTGCAGCAAGCCTAGGACAGGACAAAAGCTGAAGTCTACATCTCATGCATAGCTGTCCTTGTTCTGTCCCCGCGCGGTTCTCAGACATCCGAATTAGAACTGAGGTTTGTTAACCTGGGGTCCGCATTGATTTCATATCTGTAATGATACCCTTCCATGTGATCCCTGCAGGCATCTCTGATGTTATGCATCCACTTTTTTATCCCTTTGCGGTTCAAATACAAAACCAGTAGGAAAATGGCGCCTATCAGGGCTAAAACAATACCGAGGAAGACATAAGACGTCTGCAGGGATGGAGGAAGGATAGGGTCACAGTCCAGGTCGGAGCTGTTGAGTTCCAAGAGGACCCGATTCCTCATTTTTTCCGGGAATGCACAGGTGAGCCTGGCTTTGCCCTGCACTACCTCTGTCTCCTTGAGCCAGGCCACCATGTCCGCCATGTGGCAGTCACAGACCCAGGGATTGTCGTCCAGGAAGACCCTGACGTGAGGCAGGCTTTGCAGCTCTGCCAGGGTGCCGTTGTGCAGGACCTTGAGGGCGTTGTTCTCCAGGTGGAGGCTTTCGAGGTGTGTCAGGTTGCGGAAGGACACATAGGTCAGGCTCACCAGCGAGTTGTTGCGCAGGTCCAGGTGCCTGAGGCCGGGCAGCTGGGCCAGGACGTCGCGGGGCAGGTAGAGGAGGCGGTTGCTGACCAGCTCCAGGCGGCGGAGCCCGCGCAGCGCGTGGCCTGCTCGCAGGGCCGCTGCCACCGCACCCTCAAAGCTCCGGTTCTGCCGCTCGGCGGCAGGGGGCACGATGCGGTTCAGGATCAGTTCCACCAGGGGGCTGGGGGCCGCGACGCTGGCGTTGCCGCCCGAGAAGGCGAAGGGGCTGAGGTCGGCCAGCGGGTTGTGGCTGAGGTCGAGCTGGCGCAGGCTGGGCAGATGCGCGAAGGCGCCGGCGCGCACCTCCTCCAGGTGGCTGCCGCTGAGGTTGAGCGCGGCCAGCTCGGCCAGCGGCGGCCGGCGGGCGAAGGCCCCGGCGGGGAGCACTGCCAGCTGATTGCCGGTGAGGAAGAGGTTGCGCACGTAGGGGGGCAGGTCCGCGGGCACCTCGGTCAGGTTGCGGTTAACGCACTTGACGGTGCGCGCCGCCTCGGAGCACTCGCACGCCGGCGGGCATCGGCCCGACAGCTGGGGCTGGGCGGACGCCGCGGAGACCGGGAACGCCGAGGAGGTGGACGAGGACGCAGAGGAGGGGAGGGAGGACGACGAGACCCAGCCCAGGAGGACCAGCGCCAGCCGTGCCAGCCGCAGCCTCCAGTCCCCGGCGGCGGGGCCCCGGGAGCACCCCCCAGGCATCGCGGCTCGGGTCTCCCCGGAGCTGAGCTGGGACGCTGCCCGCTCCGAAGGTTCGGGAGGTTGGGCCCGGAGGGCGCGGGCCGGACGAAAGCGTCTGGAGAAAACTTTCGTCTTGTGGAAGCTGAGGAGGGCCGCTGCCGCAGCCGCTGCCGCAGGAGCTTGGCTAACCCCCTCGCCGCCGGGCGTCCCCCTCCCGGGGCCGAGTCCCCCGCCCCTTCCCTCCAGA